TGAAGTTCCATTTCTTTTAGTTTTGAAAATTACTTTTTTTTTCAGTGAGTACAGCAGTATAGATTTTGAAGAGATACATGAGTACATTTGTACAGGGTATATAGGGTGAATGTTAAAAAATGTTTAAAAAACCGCAAACCCAAAGTCTTATCTTTAGTTAGCTATATTAAGACAGAAAAAAATAAAGCTATGCTATTGTGCAAGTAAATTGTAGACTCAACCCAGAAGTTCCTAACACTGAGTGGTACTATGTTTCAGTACCATAAATGATTAAGCATATGGGTAATGTTGCATGAAAGTAGTCCTATTTGATACATATGAATAAATTTACTCATATACAGCTATAGCCAAGAACGTGGATTGTTCAGATCTGCAGAACTATTGTGCCTGATCTGTACACCTAAGTCATTGGGAGCCAGGAGTGTCACCCTGTCTGGGAATATGGGTCCTAGATTTTAATCAAGAAGAATTCTTGATTAATTTGGAATTGTAAGCGCTGCTGACAGGATCACATATGACAATTATTATTAATATTAGCACTGTGTTTTGGACTATACATTTGACATAAACATATTGTAGCAAAAGAACAGATTCAGAACGTAGGTCTGTCATCCCATGTTGTCATGTTAACTGAAATACAAACTGTGAAAATATTTCTGCTGACCTATCTATTCTGCAATGAATGTATATGCATAATTCCCATATGTGCGTACACACTTGACACATTGTTGTAAGAATATCTGTCTTCAGAGCCCAATGATCAGTGCTGCTGATTCTTGCATGTAGAAAATAGGGTGATGCTCTTTTTTAAAGGATATAGTATTATGATATAGAACTTTTAATGCTCAGTTTTGTAATACTGTAGCTATGAACATAATGAATGGGAGGACAAAAATATGCTTATTTTGCCCATTTTTATTGTCCAATATTTTTCTGCGGTACTTGTTTTCAAAAACAAACGTTAGGAATCTGTGACAGGTAACTGCAATGGCATACACAAATGAGAAAGATAGGTCTGAGTATAAACTAAGCTCTCAACTTCTAACCCCTGTAAATGGTATTCATATGACCTACCTTAATAATTTGTGTATTTCATTACCAGTAGTGCCAACAGTGCCCAGTTAATTACTGTTAAATCTTGCAGGCAAACACTACTTTGATAAATTAGCAAGAAAACTTTCTGCTTGCAGGAAAGCCAAGCTGACACAGGGAATCAAACTCCATAAGGAAAGAAAGTAAGCTCTGAGGAATGTCAGATCATAAGATTTACCAATGCCATGGGAAGCAGAAACATTAATTTGTGATCCAAAGTTTTCAGACATTGGAATAGTAAGATATAAAGTGAAGTAATTTTACCTTTTTGTTTCCTCCAACGAGTCAACAAAGAACAAAATAAAAATAATTTTTCAAGAAACTCCTCCAATTCATTTTTTGATCTCCCTTATGCATGTGTGTCAGAGCAAAGTTAACAGAAGTGCACTTTACTAAGCCACATCAGAATCAAGTCTGCCTGTTGCATCTTCAGATTTTTAAAACATAATTATACTCAAGAATTTTGTAAGAAATCAGCCTTGTCACTAGACTTTATGGGAGCCTCAGCATCTATCACTATTGTAAAATTGCCTCTTATCAGGCTGGCTATGAAAATAATAATGGCAATCTTGTTCTAAGCATTTGCATTCCTTCTGCTGGCTTATTTTTGCATTCCTAATATAATTATTTGACATTTACATAAAACAAGAGCTTAATTTCATAGACTACTGTCTTTGCTTATTTAAGATAAATTATTTTTAAACTCCTTATGCAGAAACTAAATGTGTTCATAGAACTGTCATGCAGGGTAAAATGGGCATTTTTAGATTTTTTTCCAACACAGTAATAAGCAAAATCTCGGTTATAAAATAACAGAAATCTGTTGGAGGCAGACACAAGCAGCAAATAAAAATATAAACCATGTCATTACGATGCTTTCACTGACGGTAATATTAATGGACTGCTGATCTCTCCCATAAAAATAAATATGTCAGCATCATTTGTACAGGAGCATTTTCTCTTCCTTCGCTAGCTGCTTTCCAGGTTCAGTTCAAGGCTCACCTCTCTTCCTATGGGGCAACGACCAGACCGTTTCATTGCCATTATACTTGCTTACTAATCATAAGCCATGATCTTGTTTTTTTTTTTTTTTTTTTTTCTTGATTCCCAGCATGGTAGATCCTAAATATACCCTGATTTATCAACACTTTCATAGACAAACACCAAGTTTTGCCAAAACATAAATCACTATTTCAGAACTCGGTGCTGGTAAGTTACCTGCAGCTAAATTTGTGCTTTAAGCACAGGTGATTTTGGCAGTTTTCTGTTGTCATCATGACAAAGTTATTCTTTTGTATCATCCCTCAGCCACTGCCTCGGATGGGAATCTTCCATGACAAGATTGGTCTGGCTGAATTGAGCATAACTGCTGCATTTTCACCTGGCTTGAAGATGACGATTTTTAGATTCAGACTGGCTGATCTCTTTGAAAGCAATCAGATTTAGAATGTGTGTGGATAATTTTAAACATGCTACTTCTTTTTAATCTGAGTGCCCCAAAATGTGAACTTAACCCTTTCATGTCTAGCACAACTAGGAGTAGAAACACAAAAGCATGAGCCAGTGGGGACTGTGACCCTTTTCTGTAAATACTTAACAGGCAAAAGGCCAGTTTGGGTTGGTTGGGTTGTTTTTTTTTAAGGACATTTTCTTTTTCTATTCATAGGCAAGTGTCTGGCTAGTTCTAATTCAGAACCAATTCAAGCTATTGGTGACAAATAGTATAACCAGCATATTCTGAGACCTGCGCAAAATGAGACATTTTGGAGGGTGACATTTCCCTCCGTTCACTTCCCCATCACTAGCAGACTCTTTCCAGCCTCTGTGAAGGAGTTTCTAGTTGTCTGCAGCCTTTCTTCTTGGGTGGTTAAACTAGCTAGACTGACTAAGGAAAAGTTGCCCTGAGTGGCTTTCCCTCAGACAGTTGCCCAAACTTTAGTATTGCCTTTATGTTCTGGTTCTCAAAATATGTGGACAAGTTGCATATAGTTTTATGCCTCCTGTTTAAATCACAATAACTACTTTGGATATGGTTTGCATGCCCCCTAGAGATAATTATTCAAATATCTCATCCATCTGAATCTTTTTTTGGTTACTAAAGATGAAACAATGCAAAGAGCGATCAGTGAAAAAGACTGGACTGAAAGTGATTAACGTGGTACAGGTGATATTTAGGTGACAGTTTCAGTATTTCAGATTTAGTTATACATTTTCCATGAATTCAGTGAAAAAACAGTTGATAAATTCCTTCTGCAGCTTTGATCCTCTCAACTGCTACCTCTAAATCTGTCTACTCTTAAATGTTCTATTCCTTTTGCATATTTTTTTCTATTGTATGATTTCTTATACGTCTTTCTTATATTGTCAAATTAATTTTTGCTTCTTTGTTGTTCAACTTTTTTCCTTTCTGGTCATGTAGTGACTCCTCTATATTGATGAATTCTGTCACATGGATGTTTAAGACAAGAGAATATTGTGAAGAACTTTGACCTCTTTGAAAGATCACTCTGAAATACAGGCTTAGGATTCGCAGAAGAAATATCTGTATTAACACTCATGGCAAGAGGGATACTGAAAGTTGTTGCACCTATGAATTGGTTCTTAAATTTTCTTTCTACATTGCCATATATCCAAGTTTACTCTGCTGAATGAGTCAGGAGCAGGAACATCTAGATGATTGCAGGCTAGAGGAAGCAGGCTCGCTGGTGAAATGACCTTTCCCTGAGAACGTACCTTTTGGGCTGTGGATATAAAAGGTGAACTTTGTTTTCTGTCACTGACTCTGGACTTCAAATACTGGGCTAATGAGATTTCTCGTTGTTTTGTTGTGTAGTTGAGACTTAGGTGAGCTTAAAATTGTATCCCAAGGTTGGGAGGTTTATTTTAGCTAGATGCTTGAGACAACAGGGATGGATATAGCCTTGCTTTGTAAGTCAGGGCTGATTATGCTGCTCATATGTTTGGGCTCTCTGGAGCTCTGCCCTGAGCATGAAAGGAATCTGGGGGCATGTGCAAGTATTCTCCGAGAGCCTGAATTGCAGTGCAGTAAGAATGAATGATTAACTTACAGACATTTCTTTTGGTGCTTCTTTTTTGTATGTACAAAGGCTCATCACATCTTTGGTTCTTTGGTACTTTTTTGAAATGGAATTTTCTGCCATTCAGTAAAATCCAGTAAAGTCAGGATCCTAATAGTCATACGTGACCCCATTCATCTGAACACACAAATACATTTTTTAGTTTGTATAAGTTACAATTATAGCTATAACTACTGTTCACATTGACACGCTTGTGTTGCTTGCATTAACTGGTTAGCAATTTTGCTGGGCAGTGAAGCAGAGCAGAGTTCAGGCGGGGCTAACCTCCCCGGTATTCTCTCAGTTTCTTGTACAGGTTTTGCAGTATTTACCGAGTTATGTGTTGTCAATGCTACTCAGCTACTAAAAGAAAATCAGCTAGCCATGATTTATTTATTAGAATATTTTTGCCACAGTTTGCACAGATTCTGAATGGAATTCAGAATCAGCGATCATTCCAGCTATCAGAGTGTCATACATGTATAAGGCATAAAATAATTAAACTGTCTTCTTTCTGCCTCCAGCTCCATGGATTTCCATTTCCATCTTCTAATGGCTGTAACAGCCACATTGCAGATATTTCCCTAGTATCTTTACTGTGTGTCTCATTAATACTAAGGAAATGCCCTATACTTCAGTCATTGCTGGTTAATTGATATA